GGTGGGTGAACCCCCAGCCTCTAGGCTGTTTCTTATTAAAAAAGAATGGTCAGTTATCTATTCTAAATGCACTATGTGAAAGATGGATCCTTCATCTATGTGTTGCAGCAATTGGGTGAACTAGAGAAGCGTTTGATTAGCTTAAACTCCTATGACGAGAACTCAATCAGATCTGCAATTGAAGAATTTTCTTCAGAAGTTGAGCTGGATGGAGACAGTGTCTTGAAAAGGTTATTAGTGGAATAAAGAAAGAAACAGTTTCCTTTTCATATAGAATATCTCATGCTATGGATAATGAGTCTGACAACTTAATTTTGGGAATCTTCCAGGCAATCTGTAATCGACAAGTGCTTTTCGAAGGAAACTGTAGCAGAGATTATAAACTCCTTTGTAAGTCTCTCTCTCTCTATCTCTCTCTCTAAGCAGCTGGGCCTCTATAATATTATGAACAAATTTGCTTTTCAGGAAGCTGAAGCAAGTGTAGAAGGAAATGGCTGGATAATTCCCGTTCTGAAGGGACTGAAGAGATCATCCCCTACTGGACTGAAAATAACTCTAAAATCGGTACCACATCCAATTTCATAACTAACAAATGCAAATACTTCTCTTATTTGGGCACAAGATTACTATTCTCAATTACTGGTCTCAACTGGGGAAACTTTTAAAATCTTCAACTTCTCATTCTATTTCTTTTTCCCCCACTCCATGTACCTGTTTCTAATTCTTGTGTCTCCATTTCCAGATACGCAAAGGTCGAACCCAAACGCTGCAAGAATGTTTGAAGAAGGAATTCAGGCTGACAATGAATATTCTACGCACCATCATCTCCGGTGATGTTTATGAGGTAATTATTGATCATTAATAGCTAAGCAAACCTAAAACAATATGTATCAATCAACATAATGGATGTGGCCATCTCTGAACTAACCATTTTCCTCGTCCATAGGGTATTAGAGCTCTCACCATTGACAAAGACAATGCTCCCAAGGTTCTCTATCTTTGTTTTCGCATTCGCGTGTGTGTTCTTGTGTGTCTTTATAAGAAGGAATAGTTTCCTTTTCTTTTTATCTAAAAATTATATAACTGGATGCAGTGGGATCCACCAACTCTTGAGAAGGTCGAGGACGACAAGGTAAATGAAGTATTTCAGCCATTCAGGGAAGATTTAGAACTCCAAGTACCGAAAAACGACGAACACAGGTAGGTAACCATTTCGAGATTCCCGTTCCTAACAACCAACTTCAATCAGCCCAAATTGATTGAAAAATATCAAGAAYATTTGAAACTAGAAGACCCCCCAGTAATATACTTCTGTGCAGGTGGAGTGGTAAATATGAAGATTCAATGTATTCAACTGTGAAGGTGGAGTGAGGGATACAATGCAAGCTTTGCCAGCTGCCTCATTTGACTGATTCAATCAAATTACAGTTATCTCATATTTTACTTAATACTGCAAAATTATTGCTTTAATAATGTAGAACACTGTGTAACATGAAAAGCAGTGATAATTAAGGAAATCTGCAGAAGGGAAAGAACTTGTAAAAGTTGAACCTACGACTTCTTGAGATTCTGATTTTCCTGCTTCCTTTCCATCAAAATCAACATTAAAAACCAAGAATCTCCCCAATTCTGAAAGGCTTCCAGGCTCTACCTGTGTCTTGGTATATATATTTTTTAAAATAATAATGTTMTTTATTTTAGGCCTCGTTTGGTTACSATTTTTGTTTTACCTTTTTAAAAGAGAAAGGTGTATGATAACTAGTTTCTGTTTCTCCTTTTTCAAAAAATTTTTAAACAGAAAAAGTAAATAGTTTTACATAAAACTAATTTTTAAAAAAGTTTTATTTTTAACATTTATTATACATTTTGTAAGCCAAGATGATAAAACAATGTTCTTATTTGAAAAAATTGAATACGGAATTAAGAAACTTAATTTTATTGTTTTAGAAATTCTGAAATTCTTGAAGAAACGAGAAAGAACAGCTACCAAACACGTATATTTCTAAAAACTGGAAACAAGAGACGAAGACGTAGCTTAACAAGGTTTTCYGTAAAGAAGAAGGTTTAGTGGGAAAAGAGAATGAACGAATAGAAAGGTAMAAATGAGTGAGGCATTTCAACATAATATACCCACATACACCAATCACAGATAAATATTAGTACATTACACACGTAAAACACCAGCAGAAGCTCAGTAGGGAATTTAAATAAGATTATAGAGGAAATAAAATGAGGCCTCAAGAGACAAGACACTATCACTATGAAACCCCTGGGAAGGACAGCCTATCTCGAAGAGTATCAAAAATTGATGAAGCTGCTGTATTTTGTGCAAATGTTAATTTTAATCGACCTAGTAATTCTCCATCCTTTGCTTGTGAAGCTGCATCCGCTGCTTCCTTCGCCATGCCGATTCGAGCATAAGACTGAAGCAGAATAAATAAATATCAGGATTCAAATGAAGCATTATTTCAACTTTTGACTTCACTACACTTGATCAAATAGGATAAATCTGATTTTCAAGTACTACAACTCCGAAATTTTAATCTCTGTCAACATTGGAAATCCCCTTTCCTAACAGYATGAACTTACTTCAATTAAGACTACCAGCCATAGGGAAAAAATAAATGGAGTTACACTAACCTCTGCTCTTTCTCGTGGATCTGCAAGCTTGGGAATATATTTCAGTGCTTCAGCCTTCTCATCTGCTTCAATGCAAGCCTCCACAAACGGCTTGTAACCTGTTAAAAGGGAAATGGGACGATAGTTCTATCACCCTTATTGAAATATTGAATACAAATTATGGAAATTATTATTATTATTATTTTGAAGAAAAGTTACAAATGTTATGGAAATTATGAAATCACTATTCTAGTTATCGACATCAATGGCAAAGCACGCATGAAATCATGTACTTTAAGTAGATAGACTCTAACGAGCATGATTGGTTATGGTTTTAGTTTGTGTCAACTGACAGAGGACATTTCTCTTGCTCCTTGCACATGGAGGCAGCTTGTGCCATTAAGATAGAAGATGTTTAACCATCTCAGAAATGGTTCGCATCTCGTTTTCAATATCTAGGCAAATAATGAGGATGTATATATGCATCGTGTTAATGGGAAAAAGTAYTTTACACTAATAATTGGAAGTTTACCAATTGCTGGTCTTTTCTCCTTTGAGAACGTCTCCAATGCAACCCAATCTCTTGTCGTAGCCAAAGCAAAAACTTTAAGCCAATACCATCTTTTCTCAGATACCTGAGGCGTAACATGAAAACCACAGTTGGAAGTTATCAGACAAATAGGAAGGTAAGCAAAAGAATTAACCAGACTCCTAAGCAAGCTGAGAACCTCCTGTTTACTACAACTTGAAGGAACCGAAAAGAGAAGTTTACACACCTTGAATTCTGTTTTAACTTTTAGAGCAGCACGATGATTTCCCAACACAATACATGTCCGAATTGTATCATTAATACTGGAATCAACAAAGATCGCYTGCTTTGTACTCACCTCCAACTCGTGTTGCATTCTGCGGATGTGATCAGAGAATCATTTAGTAGTCCTTTTGCCTTTTTTTTATTTAAAAAAAAAACCACTTTAGGAAAAAAAACCAAATCTACACTAACTTCAGCAATTTTGCATGCTCTTCAGCAGCTTTTGACTCAAAAACGTGTTCCTTGGTCTCTGCAAAAAGGCTGTGGGCCTTATCGATAAGTTTTATGCGTGGACCATGGAGTGGAGATCCTTTGCTTGCCATTGGATTTTTCCCTAGCTCCCATGACTCTTTCCACAGAAGAAAAGCTACCTCCTGTAAAATAAATAAATTGTATCCTGAAAACAGGTGTCATAAAAATACACAGGAAGACGAAATCATTAGCACATGATGGACTAGGAGTGTCGTTTGCAGAAATATTAATACTAATAAAAAAATTGTGGCTTATCTTCAACTGTCTTATCTGACCAAAGACGCGTCTTGTGTGGTTTAAAGAAAGAAGATATGTCCTAACCAGAATGAGGATAGGAGAATTTGGGTTCTTAAAAAACTCGGGGTTTTCTACCAAGTCCCTTTTTTTGTTCATCTGACAGCTCAGGGCTAAGGATAAAATTCTAAGCAAACCCATGATCAGCTATATGAAACCACAATTATTCGAAGAAGATTAAGGTTAACAATTTGGTCCCTAGTCTCGGAGTCCTGGGGGTATCAACATGGCCGATAAGATCCAAAAAGGGCATTCTGGTGCACTTTTTTTYTTCTTCATTTTTTTCTTCTCTGAACCAATGGGTTTTACCATAAAACCTCCCAACTAGCAGTAAGGAATAATAGGCTGTTATTTTTTCCTCCCCTGACAGAAATTAAAAGAGATGGTCACGAAAAGAAGAGGAAGAGGAAACCTCAAAGCCCAAAAAGCTCTCCTACTCTTAGAATGGGTACACCATATAGAAACCTTGACCTTAAGGCACTAGGTAGTTGACTTTTGGGGGAGGGGGTTATTTAGTTGCAGCGTGGCAACCACACATAGGAAGATTGTAACCTTCGCATAGCTAGTTCTGAAAGTCACAGCCATCCCTTCGTGGACTGTCCTTTTTTGTTGGGTTTTTTTTAGGGTAGGGAGAAGAACTCTTTAAATTGATTCACTGAGAATATACAATCACACAACATACCGACAGTTTCTATAATCCATATAAAAAAGTAACAAACTCGTGAGATGTGTTTCAACATATAAATTGAATGAAAAGAGATGCATCCAAATATTGAACATAGACGTACATGAAGTTGTCCAGTTGATAGGAAAAAGTCCTTCAGAAATTCATGCTTGTAGCACCTGAAGGAGATAACATAATCAGTCAAGCAAATAGAAAGGACATGTCTAAGTACAAATGCATTTTAAAACAAGAGACGAGCTCAAGAACCAAATAAGAGACGAGAACATGCGTTTATGTCCCATTAAGGCATACAATCACATCAACAAGGCAACAACCAACTAAATAAACATTGCAAGTTCGGTAGTTCTAGAGTTGCTATTAGTAGTGGTTATAATCAGCATCTGCATTCATTCTATTTTTCAATATTCAAATCTACAACTTACGAGCACTATGAGCAGTCTGGAAATATTATAATCAGTTTATTTTCCTTCTCATAGCTGACAAATTTGTGATGAAACCCAAAAGAATTACAATAGATGGAAATTAAAAGGTCCAACACATCAGTATGAGCATATGAGAAAGAAAAATGATATCTAAGTTTCAGTCTATGTAAGCTTATAATTCGCTAACAATTGGTAAGAGCAGTATGTCTCATCTGTTAATACAAGAAAAATGTTGGGGGTTTTTCCCCTTCTCCTCCTCTCTTTTTCTGAAGAGAGAAAAATGATGTAGGTTATCTTTTTTGGTCTAAGCATAGGTACACTCCTTAGAATTCAAGGACACAGATATCCGGACCAAATTCACTTACACTGTTTTGTTTTATTTTTTTTAATACAATACACTGATACAGTAGAATACAAATTCTTATTACTGTTAGTCTGTTATGTTAGACCACAGATTTTCAAACTCTGTCTACTTTTTATTTTATTTTTTTAATGTCAAAATGAAACTATAGACATATATGGTGGAGGACGAGAAGCCCTCAAGCTAAAAGAAAGAGAAACTCGCTAAAATATATCAAATAGAGGCAAAATTAATCTGAAAGCAATACTTCATTGAAGAATCTGCCAAGAAGAAAATGACTACATTTTTGGCATCAAATTTAATACTGGAGCAATAGACATGTTGCATGCATACCGGGCATAAGTAATAAATAAGTCCCGTGCCTGAACTCTTGCTTGTATCATTCCAAAGAATTCCAACGGCTGCCTCTGCATCAAAGCCAATTATGCATGCCATTAAAAAGTTGTAAATATCATTCAGGGCTTATTGTTAAAACTTAATGCATGTCTTAGACTCATTAATCTCAGACATGATAAGAAATTGTGTACATATTAGATTTTATTGAAGAATTACCTTTTGCCAGATATGGAAGAGAACAAGATAAACAAGATCAGTATCGCCACTTTCAGTTGCTTTGATTAATGCTGTATCTTCTTCTCCTATGCTTAACAAAAGAGGTACCTAAATGGATAAAAAGATAAAAAAGGAAACAAGTTTACATGATAAATATTTTCATAATACGAACTGCAATCTACATTCTACAGTTCCATAATATTACAGAAGTGTAATATACATTCAAAGGGTATGACAGCATCAACGACAATGGAAACCAGTCATGTCCATTTTTAAAATTCTCAACCTGATCAAGCAGTCTTGAGATTTGAAAATGAAAGTTTCCATTGGTGGGACTGTGGGAGGATTTTTTAAGAGAAAAAGAGACGAAATGTACACATGTGATTGGGAGCAGCTGAGTGTGTAGTTCAATGGTATGTTGGTTTTTCGTAACCAAATCCTTTTATTTATTACCTTTGCTCAAAAATCCAATTATAGGAAGAAAAAGAAGCAAATTGGAGGGCTTTTTGCAATCTCCTTCGCCCATTTTCGTTTAAGGTTGGACGGCTAATCCTTCCTGCTACTACTGTATATTCATAAATCTTCTCTTCTAATATATGTTTCTTATGCCAAAAAATAACAGAAACCAAGAAGACCAAATAAGAAGCTGG